ATTACAAAAGTTTCTATTACTCTTAAGTACAACGATGTTCAAACAATCCTTGGAATGTATATTCCACCGTTAATTAGGGAATGATTTATGTTAGATAACAATTGCACTTATAATATAAATAAATTCTTTTAATATGGAAAAATGTAAAGGTTGATATATGGAACTGAATTTGAAAAAGCCCTAAGCCCCTAAGTCAGAATTATAAAAATAACCCATTCTTAATCACTATCGAAAATTCTAATTTCACAACTTGAAAATTGAGAATGTTAATTCCAGGAATTCAGGAGTATCCTAAATTCTATATTGTGTTATAATTTAAGAAAAGTTGAGTGTAAATTAAACAACTTGAAAAGTTGAAAAACTATTTATGAACTAAATTAAAACTTCTATGTTCAAAAAAAAAACTTCTATCTTAAAAAAAACTAAAACTTCTATACTTAACTACATTCAACTCCTTCAGAAAATAGCCCGGTGATCAAGTTGATCAAATATATAAAAAAAAACTGTTTTTTAAAGCTCGTGTGCATATAAATTCAGTGTGCCAAGTGCCAACATCTAGAAATATGCAATGAAAGTAAAATACAAACAATGAAATTCATATAGAACAAAAAATGGTTTTACGCTAATCATTTTAAAGAAAATCATCTTTGGTTTTGTTTAAGATGGTAAAATATGTATACAACGGTATATGCGACAACTATTTATAATAAATTAAGATCCGGGAGTGGCTGTGTTATGACAACTATAGTGCATAAATGAGACGGAGTATGTACATACACACATACATATACATATAAGTATATATATATATATATATATATATATATATATATTAGGGTGCTTGCATTTGCTTCTACTTTAAAAAAGTGATTTCTTAAAGTAATTTTGGAGAAAATGTTTTATATTAAAAGTTGGTAGTGTTTTAGAATAGAGGTGATTATGATAAAAAGGTAAAATTTGAAGTGTTTGATAAAAAAGTGATTTTTGATGTAAGATTTTATTAAAGTATATTAATGCCCCTTTCTTAGATTAAATGTAAACCCTGAAGTTGTCTATTTCCTTGCAAATAAATCCGGAGCTCGTGATCTTCTTCTTGGCCGAGCAAGAATCATGTTAAGCTAAGTATAAACTTGCTGCATCCTCGAGGAATATATATCCACCTCTATCTCTAAAACGCCCAGGGAGCCGGTCCAGACCAGAGCATCTCAGAGAACCTCTAAATCTGAAGAGCCACTCAATGGAAATCCTGCAGCAGCCACCATTTCACCTGAATGGTCCCTCACTAGAAACCCAGCCGCCGATTTACCAAATTGACGATAACCAACCCAACTCAGCTTGAGATGAGGAGTACTCGGTTTAATCCACCTGTTAAACCTTGGTCTGCTTGCAGCAAAAGTACTCACAAGAAGCGCTTTTGATTTAATCCTGTCGTGATCCCTCATATTCCTATTTGTGAAGCACCAAGTTAATATAAAGTTTCGCATTTGATTGATAATCAAATCTGCACTTGAGCTTGATTCGTTTCATATATGTATATATTGAGGAGGAAGGGAGGCGGTGAAGTGATGCACTCTGCGGAAGAAAGAAGAGGACATATGACGGGAGAGAATGGGGGCATTTTGGATTTCATTGAAGAAATTGGACATTATAATTTTCCTTACACTTATAAGTTGTTAGAAGTTGCCAAATACCAGCTTCCTACTTTTGAGTTTAAAGTGCTTTTTTTAAGTACAAGTTGGTGTTTGAAAACACTGAATTCAATTTTTTAAACCAAAAGCTAAAAAGTGCTTTTTTAATCATCCGCAAACACTCCCTTAACGGAGGAATATATACTTGAAACACTAGAGGAGCCTGGCCTCCTTGTCATTCAACATAAATAATGATACTACATATTACAATAAAGGCGCTCTCGCACTGGTTATGTGTTTCAGCTTTGTGGATCTTGTGTTAGCTGGAGGGCAACCTTGCAGGCTACAGTTGCATTATCAACCACATGTGTTTATGTCTTTAACAGAGGCAGTGAAGGAAGCTATTTGGTTACATGGTTTTCTTGGTGATTTGGGCTTCAAACAAGTTGATCGTGTTGTGTTCTGTGACAGTCAAAGTGCGATTCACCTTGCAAAAGATGAAAAGTTTCACGAGAGAACCAAACATATTGATGTACGCAACTTCTTTATTAGACTTCATGTGAGAAAGAGTACTTTGTATGTTGAGAAGGTCGGTACAAAAGACAATCCAATTGATATGTTAACCAAGGTAGTCCCGCGGGCCAAGTTTGAGCATTGCTTGAAATTGGTTGGTGTTCGTGCAGGCCCGAGCTAGCTCCCATGTGGAGCATTGGAGGTGGTGAGTTTGGTACTTAGTTGACATTTTTCACTTGGAGATGAAGCATGTAGAGAGTGGACTTTTTTTCTTACATCAAGAAGCTTGATGTATTTGCTCTATGGTTCAATTATCACTGAGGTGGAGAATTGTAAAGTGCAGCTCTTAATTTCACCATTCTGGAAGCCATATTTGATGAAATAGGATGAAATAGGAGACACTATGATTTATGTTGAGGTTGTACACTATGTTTTGTCTTGTATACTCTTTTAAGGGAATTTATTTTCCATTAAATTTCCCGTTCATTACCAAGTACGGAGTAAGTTCAATTTCAATTACTAATTTAATGGAGCCCATGCTTGACCGGTGTGAGATGTTACACCAACTTCTATCTTGCTTAGCATGTTCATTAAACTTCCACCATTAAATCATAATTTTTAACATCACTTTCCCCACTATTTTAAAAGCAATATACTACATTTCACTAAATTCTCGCTCTTAGATTTGGCGGTGTAACATACTCGGTAACTCTTCTAATGCACTCGTAAATTAGTGTCTACGCATACATTATAGGGCATTAGCCCCTCGCGCATCGCGCGATTATAACTAGTACAATTTATGAACTGTATTGATATAGAGTCACGATAATTGAAACTATGGATTCTTTCAACAACAAAAAAACTATGGATCAAAATACTAATATATCATAAGTTTGGATTTAAGATGTTAATTGGATTGAAATTTTTTTGTCTGATCTGGTCTGGTCAGAATTAATCTGTTGTAATAGATGTCTGATCTCTGAATATTTTATAATTATCCCCAAACATGATCTGATTTGGTGACTAAAAATAGTCTAAGTAAAACCATCCTTAGTTGATTTTTGTTAATTCCTTTGCTAATTTTTAATTATATTTTCACAAGAGTTTACTAATTTATTAAGATCGAATAGTATATAAAAATAAAAATACAATAAAATTCATGGTAATTTAGATCTTAGATTGATACTTCCTCCGTCCATTAAAACTTTGCCAGCTTCATTTTTAGTTGTCTAACTAACTTTGTCACTTTCTCTTTTAAGTAAAAAAAAAATTGTGTTTTAGTATAATTTTATCTCCTCTCTCCCCTCCTACTTAATCAGTTTATTTTATTTTTATGGTTTTATTTTTGTCCTATGTTTGTTTACATTGCTCTTTTTTTGTTGATATCTTTATTTTTAGATCTACAATAATGATTGACAATTCTGCTAAATATTATGTCGTTGGAAGGATCTATATGGGTAAATGTTGTGCTACACTCGTTTGGTGGTTAGCGATCTGTATTGTTCTTTCATGAGTGATCTTTTCCAAGCCTGACTGTAGGGTTTATAGTGTTAGTTAATTGGTATTTAATTTGTATATTTCCTCTAAATGGTCATAATTAAATTTTTGTATTTTATATTTCCTCTATATGATCCTAATTAAATTTTTAAACTTTTGACTTCTACCTCTAATTAGGATGTTTGTACTTGGACTGAAAACTATTGATCCGGTCTGATCTGGTCTAAGACTGCAAGCATTATCGATACACACAAATATATAGATGGTCACAATCATGATCTTTTGTGGAGCAAATAAAACACTAAAAGATGAAGAGAACATAAAATTCGTTCGAATTATTAATATGTAGTAGCTTATTTATTGATTTTTGTAGTAGCTTAATTATATTGAGATCATAACTTTCTTAATCAATAAGACATATAGAGGGTGTTTGGAGCCCAAAAAATGGGCTTATAAGCCTGAAAATAAAAAATAATTGCCAAACATAAGACAAATTGGCTGTTTGGGCTGAATTTTCTTATCAGCCAAAAAAGCAACATCAGGGTTACTTTTTGGGCTGAAAATCATTTATCTGCTGTTGGAAATGGAAAATACTCTTTAACCCTTGTATGTTACGCCTAATCGTTTCGTGCTTCGTTGCTTCCTGAAATTGCTGGAACTTCTCACCATCAGCAGTCAACTAAGCCGTATATTCTTTTCAGTGCTCAACAATTCAGATATTTGGTTTGCATACATTTTATTTTATTTTAAATGCATGTCCATTTGCTAATACACTTTAGAGAAAATATACTTATTAAATTGATTTACTCATATTATTCACAAAAAATATTAAAATAATACTAGTGTTGCTCATTCGAAAATACACATTTTTTGTAAAGTAGTTGTATAAAACAAAATAAAGTTCAAATAATTTCCAAAGTAATCAATTATTTAAGTAGTCTTATAATTATGTAATCAAGCAAAAGTAGTTTATTAGTAAAACTCACACCCATATAATTAACACAAATAAGCTAATACCATTTATAGTAATTTTACATTCAATCAGTCATTCCAGCCAACATATTACCAAATACTTTCACTTCAGCAAATTAAGTCTTTTCAGTCATTCCAGCCAATGCATCTGTTACCAAACTGGCCCATAGTACGTGCATTTTTTTTTTACTAAAGCTAAAATTTGTTTTTTCCAAATCAACTAAAAATTTGCATTTAAGCATTTCAAATCCGAAAACATGGCGCAAAAATTAAAGATTGGTGTTTATTAAAGCTAGCCACTCCGTACTTTGTTACGGAACGATATAACTTTGTATATTAAAAATCACTTCGTTTTAAAAATAAGGGAAAATCGTCAAATAAGTCCATGTACTATTAACAAAAAGTCAATTGAGTCCATGTACTTTTTATTGAGTCAATCAAGTCCACAAACTATCAAAAAACGACCAAATAAGATTTTTAGTCGGTAGTCAACCGGTTACCCGGTTAACCACTGACGTGGATGTCCCACGTGGCATTTTGTTACTGTTTTCCATTTTTTTTTTAGTTTTGTTTCTTTTTCCCTTTTCTTTTCCCCTTTTCTCTTCCCTCTTTCTCTTTTTTTCCTCTCTTTCTTCTTGGTCCGCAACTCCACACCTCTTCTCAATCGCACCTCTTCTCCTTCGCAGCCCCAACTCTTCTCTTCCCTCTTCTCCTGCTTGATCTTCCTTCTTCATTTTCCAATAACCCTCCAATACTCTCACCGGAAAAACTCCTCCAATTCTCCCACCGGAAAAACTCCTCCAATACTCCCACCGGAAAAACTCCTCCAATACTCCCACGGGAAAAACTCTCACCGGAAAAAATCCCACCGGAACCACTCCTCCAATACTCCCACCGGAAAACTCCGCCGCCCCGGCCTCTCTAGCCATCACCCTCCGCCTCTCAGCCTCCATAGCCACTTCCGCCATACATACCGCCTTCGGCCACCACCTGTGTGACGTTCCCCTTCCCCTCCTCCGTCCTTCCCCTTGAATCGACCTCCAGCCGCGTCGGTTTGCATAGCCGTCGCCATTACCACCGGACCCACAGCCCCCGGCTTCCACCTCCACGGTCTCTACCTCCGCCTATTCCATAGAACGATCTCCAACCACCAGGCCTTCTCTACCGGACCAGATCTGTAGTTGCAAGGAGGGAAGAGATGAGTGCAGACCAGAGGATGAGCGAACCAAGGAGAAAGAAGAAAGAGAAAAAAGAGAAAAAAGGAAGAGAAAAAAAATATAGAAAATAGTAAAAAATGCCAGATGGATGTACACATAGGCGGTCAACCGGACAACCAGTTGACAACCTATTGAATTGCTTATTTGGTCATTTTTTGACAGTACATAGACTTGATTGACTCAAAAAAAGTACATGGACTCAATTTACTTTTTGTTAAAAGTACGTGGACTTTTTTGACAGTTTTTCCTAAAAATAATAAAAATGTTGCTGCCTATAAGTCTATAAGATTATAATAACCTATTGCTTTCTTCAGTTCTTTGTCGATCACTTCCATTTCATCATAGCCACTCGGTTTTCGAGCCAATTTTGATCCTAGACAAATGATATACTCCTATTAGACCATTTGTAGTGGTTGGGGATTAGGAGTCAAAAGATTAAAAATTGAGATTTTAGACTCTTATTTGTGTGTAGTGGAGGATTAAAAGGGGGAGTAAAAGTGGAAAGGGGAGTGGAAGAGTGTAAATATAGAGGGAGGGGTTGACAGCCAAACCATGTTTTCGCTGACATCATGGTGACATCATTATAACCCCAAATTGTTTTAAACTCTTGTAACTTTTTTATTTGTTCTCCAAATTTTTCAAAATATATATCAAAATTCATAAAATTTTATGATCTTTCATATGACACCAATATGTAATATATAAAATGAAACAAAAATTCTTAAATGTTAACTGTTGAAGTTTTCTTCCGTTTACAAAACGATGAAACACAAATTTTTAATTCATGGAATCTTTACAAATAACTGAATATTTTATAATCGAACTTTAATTGAACTAAGTTCATTTTTGTTAACTGAAAACATTAAAAAAAAATTAATGAAATTTATTTATTTTTATATCGAAATGTGTATTTTTTATTTCACAATTATTTAGGGAAAATATTAAACGGAAAACATTACTTATAATAAATTAATTAATGTTTTACTAAATTGATATGTAAAAAAATATGTTGAGTGTATTTTATTGACAGTGCACGGATGCAGAGAAAAACAGTATTAACGGAGTCAAAACACTGTTTTCATATGGACGGAGTCCAAATTTAACAATTTGGACTCCCAACCACTACAAATGGTCTTAGAGAAGTCGTGCAGAAGTAAAAATGAAAAAGAGTAGAAAGATAGAGAATAAAAGTAGACGTATATCTATGAGAATGTTCATAAATGGCTTTACACGGGATTCGTGATGGAGATCTATAATTCCGATTTCAGACCGATTGTATTCACATGTGAAGTTCAATTTGTCCCCTTTTTGTATTTTAAAAATTAACCCTCTATCTCCCGTTTTAATTTAAGTTGTTTCTTGATGGTTGTGTGCAGTAAAAAAATGGGACCATAACCGGATTCGAAGAACCTGGCCCATACCTATATCGGTTTCTGTTTTAGTCCAGAACCATAAACCCAGTCCTAATTTAAAAAATCCGGCGAGTGCTTGGGTCCAATAATTACCATATGTATACTCCCTCATCCTACTAGACTTTGTCAACATTTATTTTGTCTGTCTAAAAAAACTTTATCATTTTGTCTTTAAACTAATGAATTTGGGACATTTTTTATTTTTCTCTCATCTGCACAAACCTCAATACACATAAGGTACCATACCTTTGTCGACATGGACCAATCAAAGTGTTGCAGTTGAATTATTTAAATCTAAATTAAAAATGATATAATGATTTGGACCAATCAAGTGACGATAGGTACGGTACCCCCATTTTTTAAATGGATACCGGAGTTGTCACCTTATTATTATTCTAAGGTTTAGAAGCTGTTCTCTTCGCCTGATCTGAATGTTTCTGATCTGAATTTTTTAAGTTCTGATCTGATCTGATCTGAATTTTTCTGATCTGATCTGATCTGATCTGAATCTTTCTGATCTGATCTGATCTGATCTGAATCTTTCTGATCTGATCTGATCTGATCTGATCTGAATCTTCCTGATCTGATCTGAATGTTTCTGATCTGGTCTGATCTGATCTGAATGTTTCTGATCTGATCTGAAAAAATTTATACATATTACACTAATTATAAATATAGATATAATTATAATTGTAATTATATTTTTAATTATAATTACTTATATGATTATAATTGTAATTATAATTACAATATTTATCTCTATAATTGTAACTATAGTTATCAATATTATTATAATTACTCCGTAAAATAATTACAATAGTAACAATAATAATAATATTATTAATAATTATAATAAAAATAATAATTATAATCATAAATTATAACTATAATATAATTATAAGTATATTTATAATTAATAATAATTATAATTATATTAACATTAATTATAATATTATAATATAATAATAGTAATATAAATACAATTAATATTATTATAACGATATTATTATATTAATATTATTATTACAATAACATAATAATATTATTATTATTATTATTATTATTATAATTAGTTTTATATTATTATAATATTATATTATAATTATTATCATAATTATAATTATGATTGTAATCATAATTATTATAATTATAATTAATTACAATTATAATTATAATTAATTATAGATATAATTATAATAATTACAATTGATATACTTATAATTATAAGAATTATAATTGTAAGTATAATTATAATTACATATAATTATAATATGATATTATAATAATATTAATCATATTATTATTATTATAATATTGTAATAATAATAATAGTCTTCTTAATAATTGCATTTATATTACTATTATTATATTAAAATATTATAACTATATTAATATCTTATTTTTTATCATATTATTATTAATATTATTAATAATAATTATATAATAATAATCATAATAGTAATAACAATATTAATAATAATAATAATAATTAATATAATAATAAAAGTGATAAATCATGTTTGAACTTTTCTGATCTGATCTGATCTGATCTGAATATTTCTGATCTGATCTGAATGTTTCTGATCTGGTCTGATCTGATCTGAATCTTTCTGATCTGATCTGAATCTTTCTGATCTGATCTGATCTGAATCTTTCTGATCTGATCTGATCTGATCTGAATTTTTCTGATCTGATCTGATCTGATCTGAATTTTTCTGATCTGATCTGATCTGATCTGAATAAAATAAGAATAAGTAATAAGTAATAAGAATAAGACGAACAGAACAGCACCTTATTGAGCAATAATGATAGAACAAAACCAATGAAACAAATTCCATCTAGCTCAATAGCATGATGAAGTCTTGAAAAATACATGTATTTAAAATCTACCATAAATAGAACCCTTTCTAGACAAAATCAATCAAGCTGCTAAATAAAATAATTTCTTAACATATGCATGCATGCATAAGAAGTGTCATGCTATTATTATACTACGTACTTACTAAAATAAAATGTCACGTAACTAGAAAGGGATCCACACTTAGATGATGATGCATGGGAATTGAAGTGGGTGATTTACTTAAGTGGGATGAACCTTGATGAGTGAGTAGCACCTTGACCAGGGCGGCCATGCTTTACAGGCTTGTACGTAATCGAGAACTCAGCCAAATAGTGCCCAATCATCTCCGGTTTCACCTCAATCTGGTTGAATGTTTTTCCGTTGTAGACTCCGACCACACTTCCGATCATCTCCGGTACAACTATCAAGTTTCTAATGTGAGTCTTCACCGGAGCCGGCTTCTCGCCGGGTTGAGCCTCAAGTTTCTGCACCAAAAAACAAACAAATGTGTTTTCACTACTCTTCTTTACTAACCCTGAATCATTCGAAATGATGTTTTCTTTTGGATTGCTTTCAATCCCAAACCAGACCAGCCTTAAACAGATCAGACCACACCAGATCAGACTTGGACAGTTACAAAATTCACAGAGACCAGACGTTACCAGACCAGATCAAATCAGTTTAGACCAGACCAAACCAGACTTAAATAGATCAGACCAGACCAGCAATTTTCAGTCCAAAAGAAAACATCCATAGTAATTTTTACTCTCTTCATCCGAAAATTATGATCATATTAAATCCACATCTCAACCTTAACATTTGTGATTGATAGAAATTGCTCAAAATACTAATAAAACATACATAGTAGAAAATTTCTAAAATGGATGTTAGTACATTTTGGGGTGTTTAATTTGGTTAATGGTCTATCACTCTATCAGTCATTTTTTGGCTGTTTTGACCAATATTTGGCAGTTTGATCAGATGAATCAGCTAATAGGGGTGTTTGGTTGCATGGCCTTTTTATTTAGCTTTTTATCCAAACAACCAAATTTTAAAAAGCCACAAAAGTTGGCGTTTAGGCATCGGCGGATTCAGTTTCTCGCCCAATTTCCCTAATAGCATAATTCTACGCTGCCTCCCTTCTCGTCACTAATTCTCCTTCTCAACAAAAAAACTGCAAACTGTTGAAGGAAATTACCTTTAATGTGCATTCGTTATAGATAGAAAGTATGTCTAGGGTTTTTATATGTATTAATTTAATTGGCCCATTGGCCCATCTCTTGTACACCCTAATTTTCTCCTATTTAAAGGAGGCTTGCTTAATGGAATACAACACAACCCTCACTTCCCTACAACACGTTATCAGCACGTTGCTCTAAACCTAAATATTTTCCGCATCCCTTCACTCGGCTATCACCATCCTTAGCCGATCTTTTATCGTCCGCATAATTTTCCTTTTCATTGATGAACTATTGAAAGCTTCCGTACGAGTAGAGGAGATTCAAGCACCAAAGATCGAACATCCTCCATCAACGATCCACGTCGCCCAGCACTTGGACTTGAGGTTAGTCCATTGAAAATATATACGTCGTAATATATTCAAAGCTCGTTTATTAACAACCTGCTTTATTTTTAGCAAAACATCCAACATTGTTCGCTCATATATTTGTAATATATACTTCGTATGTTTCTTTCCGGAGTGCTTGTTTCATCATGTACTTATTCTGCCGCCACACAAAACGACACATCCTTTCATACATGCCTATTTTTTATTGTAATGAAAAAGATCTTTCGGAGTATTTCATTTTCGTTTATATATAATCACTGACAAAATAAATTTGTTATTCAACCGTTATATGTCTAAACCAGCACTATAGACACTCTATGTACGTTATATATATGTTAATCCCTCTAGTAAATTCCATGCATATGATTTCATTATTTCAAAATATATCTCAGAATTATATTATATAAATAAAATAATCAACGTTTCTGTCTATAATCACCCATTACAAATGATTAAATGTTAAGTCTTCACTTTACTTATTTGATTTTAATATTTAAGGGAATGTTTGTGTACACATGTAAACATAATACATAAATTTTTAACTAAA